GTGATCGGCGCGGCCACTCCCTTGGCCCTCCTCTTCCAATTCACCGATTTTGAAAGGTTCTGTTATGAGATGGTCCCTGACTTGTGATGCATAATGTGCTGGAGCTTCATCCTGTGGTGGCATTGCATCCCTCACAGCTTCAGGTCGATGTTTACACACTGTCAGAAATCCTTTCAGTGACTGCCAAATTGGTAGTGAGTTAATCTACGATTTCTCCCAATAATGATCATGTTTATGACAAATTTGATTGAATACTATACAATTTGGGATAAAACAAATCAGAAAACCATATTCGAGATTCTTTTCAATCATTAGATGAAACATGTGAGAATCACTCATTCTCGAGTGATTTCACCAAATAATTGGTAAACGGGCTTGTCCATGCGCAGTACTACATTACTACTAAACATTGAAACATAACTTAAACATAAATGTTATATTACATTGTTACTATGAGTATGATCCAGTTACACTGTGATATTTTCAGACAGATTTAGTGCTATTTTTCCAAGTATCATTTTAGTTATTCTGCTTCATAAATTCAGTCATACCTAGCTTTTAGGTATAGGACTTCTGCATAATCCAGTGATCTTTTACTGGTCCATATTGTCTTGAATTCTGATAAGTAATAGGTAAATATACGAGTTTTTCGAAGATTCCTGACTGATTTTGAAATTCTATTCTAACTATGTTCTGCTTCTAGCAATGATATAACTCACCTATTATTTTTTTAATTCGTGAGATATGAAAACAATCCGTATTTACGAATCCCTCCTTTTCACATATTATGGAATACAGATACAGATAGGTTATTTTTCTATATTCCAGCAGAGCAAACCTGGAATCTCATCAGGTATCATGAGCAATTCATATCTCCATTGGAATCTGTTTCAGTTCAAGATTTATTCAGCTCACAAACAACTAATGTGGTAATGACTTTGAGTTTCTCTCTTTGTGACCATTGCATTCCACTATGTCCTATATCTACACCACAAGTATGTACAGTGGCTCGTGAATCACCCTGTATGTATATAGGTCATGCAAAAATATATTTTCCTATGTTTGTACCTGATGAAATGGAAGGCCGAATAAAAATATTATATTATTATCTCAAGATTTATTATTAACTAATTGAATTATCTGGCAATCCTATCACGCGAGCGGAACGAGAACAGATAAACTGATAAACCAGAAAGAAACTACTGCAATATTTCAAACAAAATCGGTGTCTGAAGTTTGAACATTCCATTTAGTTAGTTTTAGATCTAAAGAAATAATCAAGTAAGTACCGCTCTGTGTGTCTTAGTGTATTTACTGTTACTGTTTGGAGATAATGTATGTATCACGCTCAATAGTCGATTTTGGGCAATGCTCAAAAAAAATATACGCAAAACTAGTATTGAGCAACAAATATTTTCTAAACCCAAAATTTTAACAGAATATCGTTATTGAGAATTATACGAAATAAGTAGAATTAGTTTTGAGCAATTTGAAATATACAAAACTAATTCTGTACAACTCTGAATATATTTTTTTAGAAGAAGGTTAATTTAGGCCGAGTTAGATTAGATTGTTTGAAAGAAGTAGTTTCCATTTTAATGCAGAAGGGATATTTTTCTTCCTCATAATACAAAACGTGCAGTATAAAGATTTGAAATTTCGGGTTTAGGAAACATTTTTTGCTGAAAATTAGTTTTGGGTATTTGTTTCGGACCCTTATTTTTATGGGTTGCCTGGTTTGGCCTATATTTATTTGCTGCTATTATTCCGGACATACTTCCGTCATATGTGATAACAAGGTGGAACAAGAAGCAAATCAAAGGGGAAGATGACGTCTTTGCGAATATCCGAACGGGCCGCGATTCAAACATGATCTAATTTGGTGGCAGAACGTCAATATTTTCGAGAATATTTCGCCCCCCTGTAGAAATAATGTCCGATGGACCAGTGTAAAACTCAACATGTGGATTAGAATACTTGTAGTGTAAGCACCACATGAGTCTCACATCGGATATTATCATTCAACAAGGGCGAAATATTCGTGGGTAATATCCCGAGACCATGACAAATAGCCGACTATTATTTTCGTCATAATTCTATCGAGAGTACCTTGTATTTTGACAATTTGATGAGACCATATGAACATAAATAATCTGAATAACTCCCGAGAGCTTTAGCTCGAGGGAGTTATTCTATGATTATTTATGTTATATATGGTCGAATTGAATTGTCCCAAAATACAAGTTACTCGAGATGGATTAACGAAAATAATAGTCTCCATTTGTCATGGTCGAGTGATATTCAGGAAGATTATTTCATGAACAGTGCAAAAATACTGGTTTATATGAGTTTCAACATTTTATTCAAGTTCCAATTCTGCAGATACTATTTGAATAAAAATTCTTCTGAAGGCCGTCTGGGGTATTCTCATCATATCTACGTACAATTGTATCAAATTTATCTGAAGTTAGAGCAAAGAAAGAATATTAACGTTATTGATAGCGTTGATATTCTTTGATTAGAGCTTATGTACTTTCATTTCTTGTTTGAGGAAAATATTGTAGGCTTCGCCTTTTTGCATTATGCGCAACCCTGGCACCTGTGAATTCAATATATCCAAATGGATTTGTCTTACGTTTATCTTCATTGAAGTAATCTTCCTGTATATAGTTTTCCATATCAATTTCAACTGTGTATTCCTAATATTCCTCACCATTCTCCTCACCCACTCTTTTAGGATTTGGGAAATCACGAAAGATAGGGTAGTCGCACAAAATTCATAGTTTTTCTGCTGGCAAAAAAACATGAATTGTTCCAGACAGACTCTTTACTCTTCTTGTTATTTTCTGATATCGATTCGCTTACATAATAACGAATTTTCGTAGTGGAAGTTGGCTCAAAACGAGACATTTCAATTTTTCAGTGACTGATAGGTATGTCAAAGTTTGACAACCATAGCACCCTTATGCTAGCGAACAGAATAGCCGCTCATATTGTTTGTTTACCTAAATAGCCGCTGATATCGCATATCATGTGACTTCAATCATGACAATTCATTGGTCCAGCCGGGTGTGAATGAAATAATCACGGAAATATCGACGCTCTGCCACTAACTTAGATCAGTTTGAATCGCGGCACGTTCGGATATTCGCAAAACAGAAATTTGTTCCCTTCTATTTGCTTTTTGTTTCAACTCGTTATCACATGAAGGAAGTGAGTAGGAATAATAGGAGCAACCAGGTAGGGTTTTTGAGATCTACCATCCAATTTGTATCTGATGGCATAATTCTTATGTATTTCCGCACAGGAAAGTGCAATTTCCTTACCATTTTGCTCAGGTGCCATTGGATGAACTACAATGTTTTTACTCTGCTTTGGAACATATACAGTGCCGGTTTAATGTGATTTGCCGCCTATGGCCCTTCAGAATCAAAAATATTCCTAATCTTCCTGGTCTTTGGATTTTTTCCCATGACACATTTTTGAGGTGATAATAAATTCTATAGGCACGTTGGACGTTATCTGGGATGAAAGGAAAACGGCAAACTCGCGTCCCGGGTGCCGCGTACCATAAGACGGGCATAATCATATGAGCAGTGTAACTATACCATAGAAGATCTATGCACACCAGTTTTTTTTTATAGAAGTTTGATGAGCATAATGTTTAATATAATGTAACAAACAGGATGTTGTGGAATAAAATTAAAAACATACTTCTTTAGTGTTCACATAATGAATAACAAGGAAAATGAATAGGTCTATGTTAGAATAAAAAAGTAGAATCAAATGATACTAGGCAAGTACGTAACTAGGAACATAAAGTAACAATACAAAAATGTGTTAACTTGCTTCAATGCAAGCCATTATGTATGATTCTCTTCACAAGCTCTATAACTTTGTTTCATTTAGTGGATCTTGTTTGAGTTCAGACAAAATTGTTAGCTCAAAAATTTCGAAAACAAATATCCATATTGGGAAAAGAAGATATATCACATTATTCTCGTATAGAACTTGGACTAACCTCATAATATAGGAGTTTCTGCTTTAGTCTCTATATATATATATTTTTTTCAGATGATTAACATTCGTCAGAAACAAATTTGTCCAGAACCTCTGCATACTTTTTTGTAGTTTGATCAAATTTCCATCCTTTGCTGACACTATCTTGAACAGAAAGTTAAATTATTCTGAACAAGATTTGTAGGTGGAAGTCCGACGGAAAATTTCAAATTTGCAACTTTAAACAAAACACTGTGTCCGCCATTTTTCTCTCTGGTTCGAACCTTTTGCCGTATTTTTTCTCCTAATTGTGCTTTTCTTGGGATAATTCACTTCTTAACATAAATTTCAGTTTAGGTAGTGTAGTGATCAAATCTTTCGCGTAAAAAATCAAAATATCCATATAATGACTGATGACAGAGGATGTGCAGTTGTATTTTCAAATAGCCGCCCTGAAGATTTTGCCGCCTGGTGCTATAGCACCCAAAAACCCCCTGGTAAAACCGGCACTGAACATATATCATTTCGTTATCAGATGACGGTAGAAATCTGCAGCCGGCTCTCCTATCATTAAAGCACTAACTAAAAATCAAGACTATATTTTGCCAAATTATAACTACAACAGATCCAGGAATGGACCACTGTATTCAGGAATCAGAGTTTACAACCACTTACCATCCAGTATAAAATCTTTAAATAATCTGAGATTCAAAGCAAGGTTCAAAAAAATGTTGCATGAAAATGTTTACTATCATTTAGAAGAATACTTCTCTCACAATTTAGAATTAGATATCACATTAGATTTAATGTTTATGTACCGTGCTCGACTTTCTCCATGCTTTACGCTAGATAATCGGAAATACCTTTTGTTAAATTATAATGTAATATTGACACCACTGTTCTTCCGATTCTGAGAAACTGTGAGAAATTAATATATCTATCTATCTATCTATCTATCTATCTAAAGCCATCGATGTCCATTTTTTGTTTTAGCCGTCATCATGCCTATCGACTTCTACTATGTTCCCGGCAGCGCACCATGCAGAAACGTTCTTCTGACTGCCAAAGCTGTTGGAGTGAAACTCAACCTCAAGTACACCGATTTATTGAAAGGGGAGCATTTGACCCGGGAATTCATCAAGGTAGGGTGACATCCTGACTTTTCGTGTTTTACACGTGCAAAATTATTTGATTCAATACCCTAATAGCACAATGAATTCACATGGATGTCCATACGACGTCCCGCCGGAACATTCGAAACGTCCATAGGACTTGCGTTCTTGATAACGCGGACATCCATAGTACGTCCGTGGAAAGTACAAATCTCCCGACTCCTCACCAAAAAAATATCCCTCAAGGATAAACATTAGACCTCCTTAGAATATCATCCAATGGACGTATTTTCCCTAGTTGAAAATACGCCAGTCGGGCAACCAGCCACTCCCATTTCACCTGAAATGGGATCTTGTTTTGAAGTGTTTCTTTCCTTGCCAGGTGGCGGTCGGCGTTCGCGTTTTCATTTCGCGGACTTCGAACGCCTCGTATGGTATAAATGCTGCGTTTACGTTGGGTGAAGTTCGCACTAGATAGCGGTCAAGAAACTAACTGGGACAGCCCTGTACTGAGCTAAGAGCTCGAAACTGGTCTACAGGTAGTCATGCGTTCCTGAACCACTTAAGCGCAGCTCAGCGTTTAGGAAGGAAACACTTATACGAACTATTGCATAGATTTCGGGAGGATGTAATCCAATGTTCTGCGTGGCATATAGCCAGGAAAGTAGTTGTTTTTCTCTCGTTATCTACCATTTTCGTTCATATTATGAACTAGTGTGGTAATGACTTTTGAGTTTCTCTCTCTTTGTGTTCAAAAAGTTCATTGAACATTATGTTTTTGTACCGAGGGCATTCATAGGACATCCTTCGAAACATCTTGTGTGATGTGCAGAGGACGTCCTCTAGAACGTCCATAAGACGTCATCTAGAACGATTATAGAATGTCCCTGGACCGTCCATAGGACCTCGTCTGGAATGTTCAAACTATGTCCCTGGACCTACGAATCAATCATGACTTTGAATTTATTTGAGTCTCCCTAGAACCAGATCTTGCATAACAGATGAGAACATCCAGGTGAGTTGATGGTCCGTAGAAGGTCCTCAATAGATCCTGAAGAAGATTCCCAATGGACTTGAGTAAAGGACATTGACGGAGTGTATTTATAGCCTACGAGCAATCGATCGTCGGCAAGGAGTAAGTCAAAGTCCTCGCAGGGACAACATATCTCGCGTACCAACTGGGACATCCGTAGGACGTTATTCCTAGGACATTGAAAATTATCATTCGCTTGCGCGAAGAACATTTATATAGGATGTCTATCTGAAGTCCTGATGCCAATGTATACCACCGATTGATGTCCCTTAGGACCATTTCCGAATCGTATCCAGGACATTCTGAGGACATCCTTGAGACGTCCATAAGACGTTGTACTTATGACATATCATGAAATGATATTCCCCGAAGAATTTCTCTGCATCTACTTAGATGAACATATGGATTATTTATAGAGGTTCCTTCCGAAGACATAACAGTTCATGTACCAATTCGGACATCAGAGGGATGTCCCTAAGGGACAATTCGGGTGTTATACGATCCTGGAAATATCAAGGGCGTCTGTACAGAGATATCTGAAGAAATGTACCGTCTGGGATATTTCATGGTTGTTCTAGAAGGAACATTATATAAGAACTGAAGTCATTCCAGAAAGTGTACTACTTGGGACATCCGATGGATGGAACGTTCAAAATTATATGTTATCAGGGACATGATGCTAAGGACGTCCTTGCAAGGACATCACTCTATATGTACCACGGGGATCGTTCAAAGGATGCTATTTCTAGGACATTTGAAATGATGTTCCAGCTCGGAAATTCCATGGACGTCCTTGCTCGAACATTGCATGAGACGTACGGGATGGGACGTCACAAAGACAATTATTTTGGCTCTGGGACATTTGGGCTTGAATTGTACCCAAAAGGGGCATCCCTAGGAGGATTGCGTGCTATTAGGGCATATCTGGGGTGCATCAAGAAGTGAATTGAATAATTATAATTATTGTAATTATATGATTTGGCAGTGACGCAGCTGAATAATAAAATCGATTTATCTCGAAAACGGTGAATGCTATATCGAAATTGAACAATAAAACCATTCAAGTGAAAATGTTGAGATCTGTATATTCCTGAATCAAAGTGGCGATGCATCGAATCGCAAAAAGTAGAAAGTTGAGGAAAAAAGTGCCCCTAGCTCCTTCCTAACGTTTTCAATTATTGGACGGCAATGATTTGGAATATCCTTTGCCAAAAAAATTCAAATATCTATACCTACCTTCTCTCCATATCCTAGTGTTATATTCAATAATAATATCGCAAACGTTGCGACTTCAGTGAATTCTATCGAATGTACATATATTTTATCAATAGTCAAAAACCTTTAAAAAGTTTGTTATCGTAAAAAAATCCGACAACAAGAGCCCCCACATACCAATTTTGGATATAATCGGACTAGAATCCCAAAACTCATCTGCCATTTTGAAGCCGTCATCTTGAGTTCTTCAATTTTGATGGAAGAACCATGATTTTCGACACCGACACCACCAGATAAATATTTTGAATAAAATTGTATCATAATTATAAAACTCGTTCACCATATTGATGCTGTCATGAATTGAATGAATTGAATTTTTCTATTTAGACAAAAGAATCACAATAAGATATCAATTTTGAATAGAATCGGTTCTCAATTACATAATACATCCGCCATTTTGGAGCCGCCATTTTGTTTTTTCCTCTAACAAAAATTTCTCGTTGTATTGTTACCTGAATTATGTACACCTGTCAGCAAGTGTGTCATATTTAACTTGCAAGACAGGTGACACTTAATAAAAAAATATATTAAAAAAAACTTTTAAAGATGATCTTTTATAGAATTGGACTCAAGAGGAAAGAAATACCTATCTGGTATCCGCGGCAAGCTTTCGATTCTCATAGAGGATAAGATCAAACATCATGACATAGATTATATTTTTCTTTTTAGTGCATTTGTATAAAAGCTTGTCTTTATGAAGATTATTTTATTACTTAATATTTCTATCAAATGTTTACATATATTTTAGCAGTCAAAACCTTTTATAAAATCTTGTAATAATTGTAAAAATATACGACAATAAAAGCACTCACATAGGAATTTTGAATATAATCGGACAATAATTACAAAACTCATCCGCCATCTTGAAGTTCTCAATCTTGATAGAAGAATCATATAATTTCCGACCCAGAAACTCGCAGGTACCAAATTTGAATAGAATCGGATCATACTTTTACAAAATTCCCAGGTAGCACGTCATGATTTTATATTGGGTCGATATAGACATCTTGTGAATGTAAAAATAATATTGGTCCAATATGAGAGTATATTGAATATAAAATATTGGAATGATAATAATATTGGGGGAATATTGGTTCAACCTTAGCTTGTTTACAATATGTGGAAGAACATATAAATGAATATTATATAATATTGTTTCGTGAAAATGCCAGTACAACAACATCCTATACATATATTGTTTTCAACAACTATAACCAATATTTCAATTTTAACAATCGGAAGATATCGAATGCATATTATTTCAAAGAATAATATCTATATCGGCAATTCAATATGTTTCTTTATATCGGTCATAGAAGAGAAAAACAATATATTATTTCCGAATTCAATTGCATAAGTATCGGTAACATACTGTTTTAAAGATACATATCGATATCGGCATTTCGATAATTATTTAATATCACTCTCAAACCTATGTCGATAGATGGCGCTATATATAATTGGTAAAGAACTCCCAGTGCCAGTCAGACGAGAGAAAATAAATATTGACTCGAGGTTAACTCGAGGCGATTGACAAGCATACTTACTTGGCGTAGGGGTTGACCGTAATCAACAAGGACGACGCCAATATCAGCGAATGTTCACATTTTATGTCTCGCCAATATTGATATGAAAACATTCTACCAATATTTTGAAGGAACGAGAACAGCAACATAATAATTTTCAATGGTCCCCCAATATTCCCAACTAATATTGCACTAATATTGTCAAATGTTAACTTCCCATTTTTCGCCAATATTGATTTCACATTTTATGACCATTATTACTCTACGAACATTCAACCAATATTGGTGTTAGAATATTTCAGCAATGTTTTCGAGACGACATTGCAATATTGCTACCAACTAAGATTGTACCAATATCGCCGAATGTTCACATTTTGTTTCTCGCCAATATCACGTTTACAATATTTTGCCGATATTTTCGTAATATTGCACCTAAATTGCCCAATATATGTGTGCTTCTTGGGTTCGTTCGCTCCATTGGATTCGTCATCCTGAATTTTCCAATTTCGACGAGAGAATCATAATCTCCGACCCCGAAACATCCAGATACCAATTTTGAACATTATAGGGATTCCCTTTCGTGCGCTCCGAGCGATAAAAAAAAATTACACAACTCGTCTGCCATTTTGGATCTGCCATCCTGAATTTAATACTTTTGACCAAAGAATCATAATCTTCCACCCCGAATAACCCCAGATACACATTTTGAATAGAATCAGATCATAAATACAAAACTCGTCCGCTACATTGGAGTCGCTATTTTGTTTATTATTTTCTCTAATACAAATTTCATGATGAATTGTTACCAGAACTGAAAAGTGTCATATTTAACTGGCAAATTTTGATTCCACACAGAGACTCGAAATAATAATTAGATTTCTGTGAAGACAAACAAGTTAATGCCAGAAAATCCTACCAATAACTGTGTATCCATCGGAAATATATTACGCAATGCACTTCTCATTCGTAACCGTAAATTTTGTACTGGAAGTGGAATTTGCCAGTTCAAAGTGACAATGGGGAAGACCACTGATTTTTCAAAACGACATCATCCTGAACTCTACACTGAAAAACTACCAGTGAATCAATTTTGAATTATTCCATTCGTACTAGGACGATGAAAAAAATAGATTAGAATATGTCTATTTCAAAACACACAATTCCTGCGCCATTCGAAATGGTGTCAATTCATTGGTGTGACTGGTGCGACGTATTAGTCCCAACACGCCTATTGTCCTTGAGCTGACCAATCACACTGCAACACTGCAGAATGGCAAGGTATCAGAGAGAGATAGCTACAGTTCGGGACTAATACGTCACGGCTCCACCTTCATATTTGGCTTTTGGAAATATCGAATGAAATATGCTGATTTCAAAACGCTATAGATTCGATTCCCTTCAACTTCAACTCATAATATTGATTGTACATCAAACGTAAATCATGATTCGTCTATTGAAAGAGGTTTGCACGGATTTCTTTCCTCAGTGGTCTTCCCCATTGTCCGTTAAAAGTGGCAATTTCAAACGTTTTGAAACAAAATGAAGTTGTTTCCACATATTTTCATTTTTTTGCTCACGAGCGCGAATGCTGTCAGATGTCAAAATGCTACTTCGTCAATCGGTTGTAGAAAATTACTGTATACTCATTTTAATAAATAATTCAACATTTTCATTTTTTTTGTTCAAGATCAATCCTCAACATACTATACCTACCTTAGACGACAATGGCTTTGTCTTATGGGAAAGCAGAGCCATCATGACCTACTTGCAACAACAGTATGGCAAAAATGACAGCCTATACCCGAAGGATCCCAAACGAAGGGCTTTAGTCGACCAACGATTGTATTTCGACAATGGAACTTTGTACGCAAGTTTGGCCGATTATTATGTGAGTTAAATTTTTCAATAATTTCTTTTTGGTCAAGACACGATTTCATAATTTCATTAGGAATAATAGGATTCTGATTTTCAATAAAACAGCAAAGGTTTGACATATCATTTTGATTCCGGCTTTAGTTTGAAGCTTGGTAATGCACCAGTTGCATCGAACACACACGATGAGAATTTGAAAACAAAATCTTCTAAAGTTGAGAATTTGCATTCTCCTTCAGATAAAAATATGTATGTGGGCATAATATCATTCTGAATATTTAACAGAAAACAACTACTTTCCTGGCTATTTGCCATGTCGAACATAGAATTATATCTGTTGAATATCCAAAAGGAAAGCATGAAGAATAAAAATCCTCTAAAATTAGGAAATGACATTATCTCAATAGATATAATTCGTTCGTCGTGGCATATAGCCTGAAAAGTAGTTTTTTTCTATTGAGAAAGAACTGATATTTTCATCACATAGGGAGTGCGATTTCCCAATGCATTTCTTCATATATATATATCCATCTTTTCATGTTCATCATTTATCTGAGAATATGCCTATTCAATACTTTCACCCAATCAAGGGGTTCAAACTTGAACGATGGAAGCTGTTTTTTTTATAGACCTTTAATCGCAGATTCGTGATTAGGTTTTTTCAATTCAGATTTTTTTTTATACGTCCTGTATGATGAATATCAATTTGTCATACATCCAAAACAAAATTCTAGAAATGAATTTTTCTCAACAAACTTCTATTTATCCCGTTTTACGGTACCCTCACTTGCTCCCTTGATATATGAAAAGCTATTAACTATACCCAACTATTATACAGAATAAAAATTCCATTGAAGATGCGATGAGCCGAGAAATATCTCGTAGGGGACACCTGAAGATGGTATTTCTTGGATATTTCCGAAACGCCGTGTGACAAAATTTCGTTGATGAGGAGTGTATAATACAGGGTGGGGGGGATTAAATATCACGTAAGATTTTTAGTATGCATATTTTTTGACAATATGATCTCGGATTATGAAAATCTACACCTCCTCACAGAAAAAAATGTGCTCTTGTTCTGTATCGATCAGATGTATCAGTTTTGAGTGAAATCGATTCAAAAATATTGTTACATCTCAAATATTATGGATAACGTTGCCTCAGCCTCTTACACCCAGTTCCAAGAAAAGTGATCTTCTTAAAAAAAATAGTAGGCTGATTTTTTTTTATTATTCGTTGGTAGGTAATGCATTTGTCTTAAAAAAAATAAAGAGGTGAACATTTTTTCAAAGCCTTCTTGATGGTGGTGGAATAACTCGAACCATGATTTATCCTTAATTTTTGACTCACCCTGTGTGTTAATTGAGTAATGGTATACAAAGTTCTTACACCCTATACGAAAGAGGCTTCTTTTGCGAGCATTTTGTTTTTTTTATTCATTTTGATTTATCTCTAAAATTTTCCGAATTACTGCTTTTTTGCTGATACCTTACGCTTATCCCACAAATTGAATTTATTGAAGGATCAGAGTACTCAAAATTGATTGGGTTGTACTCTGGTAGGATCACATTGTCTTAAAAAAACAAATGCCGTTGCCATAGCAACTAATTTGTTGTATGCCTCCATATTTGACCATTTGTCGTTGTGTCATCAATTAAGAGTGTTGTTTTATTGACTAAAATTACATAAAATGCCTCAAATAAAACCTGAACAAGTAGCAAGATTAGTTGCGTTAGTAAACGATGGACGTATTAAACGTTACGCCGCTCGTGCATTGGGAGTTCATGAAGCAACTGCTCGTAGAGCAATCCGCGAGTACGAACAAACAGGAAGCACCGCTCGGAGGGTCGGTTCTAGTCGCCCCCGAAAAACTTCTCCAAGAGAGGAACGCTTCTTGACATTGCGGATATTACGGAATCGATCAAATACTGCGGTAAATGTTCAGCAAGATCTTCGCCAAATTCGTGATGTTACAGTAAGTAAGCAGACGGTATGTAGACGTCTGAAAGCAGTTAATTTAAAAGCTACGAGACCTGCAAAAGGTTCCAAATTATTGCCCGAACATCGTGCTGCTAGTAGAAATTTTGTTGAAAATTATGGACAGTGGACTATTCCTGAATGGTCGAATGTCTTGTTTACGGATGAGTCAAGGTTTTGCCTCAACATGGTGGATGGAAGAAAAAGTGTGGAGAAGAACTGGTGAACGGTTTAATCAAAATTCAATAACAGAATTCGAAAGTTTCAAGGGTGGGTCCGTTATGATGTGGGGAAGGATTTCAATGAATGTAAAGACACCCCTTCATGTTTTTCCGGTGAGGCAGTCGATGAATGCCCAAATTTACATTGACATTTCAGAGCAGTATGTCTTACCTTATGCGGAGTTAGTGGGCAATAATTTTATTTTGATGCAGGATAATGCCCGACCACACACCGCAGCAATAGTGCGAAACTTCTTAGAAGCTACTGGTATTACCACATTACAATGGCCTGCGAGAAGCCCCGATATGAATCCTATAGAACATTTGTGGGATGAATTAGGGAGAAGGGTACGTTTTCGCGAGAGGTCTCCGGAAAGTCTCGCAGGAATGGCAGATGCATTAGTGGATGAATGGGATCGTATACCAATGGAAACGATAAGCAACTTAATTTCCAGTATGCTTCGTAGATTAGCGAAGTTCTTAGAGTTGCTAGAGGAGGCAATACACGGTATCAAGCAGTCTTTCCAATTTATGATTTTGTGTTTAATAAAAATGTTTTTTAAAATTATTGGTATCAGTTTATTTCATTTGAAAATTGTTTCTCGATAAATTCAGAAAGTTGGTAATCTGCAAGGATTCAGCAAAGAAAGCTGTAATTCGGAAAATTTTAGAGATAAATCAATGAATAAAAAAACGAAATGCTCGCAAAAGGAGCCTCTTTCGTATTGGGTGTAAGCACATTCTATGCCATTACTCAATTAACACACAGGGTGAGTCAAAAATTAAGAATAAATCATGGTTCGAGTTAATCCACCACCATCAAGGAGGCTTTGAAAAAATTGCCACCTCTTCATTTTAAGACAAATGCATGACCTACCAACAAATTAAAAAAAATTAAAATCGGCCAACTATTTTTTTTTTTTTTAGGAATATAGGTCAAATATCAAGTGCGTCACTTTTTTTGGAACTGAACGAAGAATTCCATAGAGGCGCGTGAAATAGGAAATGTATGATAAAAACTACTCCCAATTTTTTGTGCATTTTTTTCTCATAACCACTACGATTCATTGCAACGTTATAAATGCATTTATGTGAGATATAATAATATTTTTGAATCGATTTTAATCGTATGATCGATACGGAACAAGATCACTTATTTTCAGTAAAGAGGTGGGGATATTCAAATTGCCGTGAAATATGCATACAAAAAAGTTTGAGCAATATTTAATGTAGTTACACCCTGTATTACATATCTCCTAGGCTTAGGAATTCTATAGTTCGTGTACCGATTTGCATCAATTTATCACATGGCGTTTCAGAAATATTCATGAATGAGGGGCCGTAGCTCCCTTAGAAGACATTTTTTTTTCGACCCATGTTCGTTGAAACTTTTCTTTGTTATTTTTGGTCATAGGAGTTCTTTGTCAGGTCAATATCGGGACACTCTGTATATATGATTGAATTCTCAACTATGAATAAGTATAGGTGGATTCATGCAACATCACTTAATTTATCTGAATTTAATTTAACTTATGAATTATACTTAGGAAAAAATGTCTAATTCATGTTACACATAAGTTAGTGCCCAATACGCATGCGCAGATCTTCAAATTGACATTGATAGAATGACATTGACATTCTATCACTTGTCAATTCACCATTGTTTCATTTGATTCGTTTTCATAAGATACTGAGAATAGATGACGAAACACATCGAATTTTTACCAGATCCATCCAGAACACCTCCTATGGTTTTCCAGGCGTTTTCTCTGTATAATTTATTTTCAAAGTCTTTATGACTTTAATCATAAATAAAAGTGAATTTCCTCACAAGATCTATGAGTACTGCATCATCCATTTTTTTCTTTTGTTTGAAAAAATCCCAGAATAAAATCCAACTTGAGAATCGTTGTTTCACAGTTTAAAACGTATAAAACAAAGTGGGGTTATATTTGTTTTTCCTGTCACTGCTGTCAGTAGTCTTCGTTCTTCTCGTGTTTTATGATCCTGTGCTCTTGCACATGCGCACTTGCGAAATTACTGAAGATTCTTAAGAGAAAGATAAAATTGGACGAACTTGATAAGATAAAATTAAGATAAGTTGAGTGATTGCTTGAAAGCTCGTTCGATTTTTGTATTATTCATCTTATCAATAAATTAAGTGATGTTGCATGAATCCACCTTATGCAATTCATTTCAGTATCCTGTTATCTTCCGAAACGAGTCATATGACCCGGCCAAACTCGAAAAAGTTCACGACGCCTTCAAATACTTTGACCTCTTCATCGGAGACAACGACTACTCCACCGGCAATACCCTCACTCTGGCAGATCTGTCATTGGTCTCCACCGTCTCTACCTTCGAACTGTTGAAGTACGACTTTTCTCCCTACAAGAACGTCTGCAGATGGTTCGCCAAGGTCAAGGCAACGGCTCCTGGCTACGAAGAAGCTAACGGGAAACCTTTGCTGGCTTTCCAAGACATGATTGACACGCTCAAAAAGCCACCGACTACGGTGAAAAGCGCCCTCTAGTGTATAAGTTTGAATTTGATGGTTTTCTTACCATAAAACTGATCGACTACAGACTACAGCTTTGTACAGTGGCAGAATCTCAACTGATAAGCATTATTCCAGGAGTACTCATTGTTATAGTATGAACTTGCAAACTTTTTCTGGTACTGTTTTAGTTTTTAATCTTTTTTATGGCATGGCAAATTCCAAACTTTGCACTGATCAAGGAGTTATCATTCCTATACCCAGAGAGTACAGGATATTCTATGAATGTTTTCACAACTGCTAGAATATATCACCTTCAGAATATTCCAATAAAACTGATAGATTATGACGAGGATGATTTGAATGTTCATATAATGTTTTACGAGAATATTCATAGCATATTTCAACCAAATATCCTTTGAATAACATTCCTAGAATATTTAATTATATTCTATGAATGTTATTCAGGAATTCTCATAGAATATATTGTTCGAATATTCTAGGTATATTCTCCAGGCATGTTCATAGAATATATTATTTTATCAACTCACTGAACCGAAAGTAGGGGTTTGCTCCCCCCTCATTCAAGGAAACAACGTTGTCAATTTACTCCATCGGGAGGAAAAAGATATTAACTTCCGTGGAAGGTAAAATGAATTGGCTTCAGCATGCATCCTTTGGCGTCGATATACCTTCAAAATCTGTGCAATCTGAGTAATCAGTATCTTCTTAACTATAATAAAACAAGTAACAATAATATCCTTTTCAAATTCCAATGATCTACACTTCTTCATATCCTGAACGTTCTTCTAATCAAAACTCTCAAATGCAGATACACAATATACAAATCAATTAATTCATGATGACATCAGGAGTGTCAAATTGACTTTCGTTCAAATGCCATCAATTGTCCATGGCACACTATACCTTTGTAATGAATAATTATTTGGATCGAGAGATAGACCGCATGAAGCATAATTTCAGGAATGATGCTTTATAATAATGCCATCATCGTTGATAAAATCATATATATTGTAGTTTAACACCACATAAGATAATAAAAACTCATAATCATCGTCGATACATGATTGTTTTATTTTATTTTTAATAAAAAAATATCACACCCATCAATGTGCTATCACTCTTCCTTTTCTATCCCTCAACCTAACCTAACCTAACCTTACATTAACCTCACTTTATCCTAATCTACTCTTCTTTTTTCTTGTAGTTTGTACATAAGGACATAGCTGTCTATGGGCGGCGACTAAAATATATACATATCATTGAGGCAAAGTTTCTTTTCCCCCCTAACTCCACACTCGGGAGGAAATGGATGCCTTTTGTCCCTTGATATATAAATAGCTATTATCTACTCACTGCATCGAAAGTAAACGTTTGCTCCCTCATTTAAGAACACAAACCTGTCAATTTAATTCCACGGAAAGAAAAAAAACATCAACTCCCGAGTACCGACAACAATACCCTAGTTTTTCATTTTTCGATGGGTAGTTTCCTAAAAATGCCGTTCTAAACTTACAGAAGTAATTAAAACATGCCTGCACTGAGATGCATAGTTTTTAGGTAAGTATTATTGTATTGACTCTACTTTCAGTCCAAATGGTAGGAGTATCTTGAATGCATCTCAGCATCTAATCAACAGGCATGTTCTAATTACTTCTGTGAGTTCATAACGGCATTTTTCGGAAACTGCACATCAAGAAATGATAAACTATACAGTACTGTTGGAAAAAGAATTGAAAAAAATTTACACTACAGGCAAGAATAATAGTCTTGATTGAAGGTTACGGAAGACTCATATATCCGCAAAGAGAACTACTCTTGATTTAAAATGCACGATATTATTGCACCAATCTGTAAGTGTAACTCATAACAAAAAGGAAGTAACTCGACTTTAGTATAGCTAAAATAATTTGAAACTCTCCCAAAACTCACGGGTAACCCAAGTTCAATTAAATGTTGCATTGTCTCTCAGAAAAACAGTTCTCACTTTTCATAGAAACGAGAAATACTTCTTATTATAAGTATATGAATTACCGATTGTAACTACAATCATTTCTTTATATGACACTAGATTTAATTCTCTAGATCTGTTTGTAATGAATGCTTATTGTAATCAATTGAAATCTAAGGAAGTTTTGAACAAGTATAGCTATTATTCAAAGAACCATTCTTTAAACCCCAGAGCAAAACTAAATCATACTCCAAATGAGAATAAAAAAAATCATACTGATACTTATTATACGTTATGTTCAAAATAGTTGGTATTTTTTTCAATACCATCCTATCTTTTTCCAACTATAGTAAATCTCAACTCAATTGAAAAATATCCTTCAAGAATAAATTTTCAACTTTTCTTAATTGGAGGCTTATCTATGATTGTTTCATAGATTTCATGCCTTCATATTCATTTTGCATCTGCATCGAAAACTATATGTTCATTTCGACGTAGAAGTGATCCCAGGAGCCTAGAATATTGGAAGATTCTGATGGCATGTGGAGTGATTTTTCATAACCAATTGGTTTCCTATATAAGAATAAAAAATGATTTATTATTTCACAAGGATTAATATGATTCTATGTTGTGTATACCAACCCGAAAGTAATTAGGGCATATGGGTTTAAAGGAAAATGTTAAGAGTAAACTTACATTCAAAAACAGGATTTTATTTCAAACAAACAAACAAATAACAGGCACTCCTGATACATAATTTGTTGAATAAAAAATATCCTGTAATATACATACCGTTGACTTTTCTTTTAGCTTTTTCCAATTCTCCAGAAAAATTATAGTCATCTTCCTATGCTCGGAATTAATTCTTTGATTCAATCTGCATACATCAGCAAGCATATATTTTCAACTGTTATTTCATTTTCTAAAAAAAACAATGTGTAGGTATAACATAACTATACTTACTTAGGTAATTTTGGTATACAAAATGTCATTAAATAAGAATATTAAGGTATATATATGTTCCTATAATTATTGCAGTAAAATATGTTTCATTCACAACTTGAGAATCTTTTGGGTGGAAATGCTGATAAGAACTATAGCGAAACCGATCATTATCCTATTTTTGGCGTTACAATAAGATGTTACCATAATTAGTTAATATTACATAAGAGGGAAGCAATGGCGGCCTATCTGAGGATGCGGGACTCTGGGAGTTGGGCTAACGGAGGAGCAGTGACAGGTCACGCGGAAATTGCGACATGGGTGGAGCAGGAGATCCCTATCTCCACCCTAAGAGTAAAGAACGCCCAAAATAGGCTGAGATGGAACAGAAGTTTCACCCTCACTATTCCAAGCAGGGAACAATGGGAAGAGAACAGAGTGGAATTCCGCCCGGGGAGTCTAGTATGTTATACGGACGGATCGCGCCTAACTGACAAACAGGACTCAGGTGCAGGAATTTACCTAGAAGGAATAGGCATAGGGGAGAGCTACGCTCTTGGAGAGTATACCACAGTTTTCCAGGCTGAGGTCTTTGTCATTCTGGCAGTAGCGGAGAGGCAAGAGGTGAAAGAGGGACCATCAGAGCAGAAGATTTACAACTGCTCGAATAGTCAGGCGGCTCTCAGGGCTGTCTGCCATCCAAAACCAAGCTCAGCTTTGGTGCAGGAATGTGGCGATGCTCTTGAGAAACTAGCTGAACAGAAGGAAGTCGAACTAGTGTGGGTTCCGGGGCACAGGGGGGTGCTCGGGAACGAGGTGGCCGACGAGCTGGCTAGAATCGGATCCGCGACACCGTTCTGATGGGGACCGGAGCCTGCACTGGGCATAACAAGAAGCCAAACTTCGTCTGCCCTTAACAAATAGGCGGACGAGGCACTAGAAGGATATTGGAAGCAAGCCAAAGACGGCTTGGTTACTGGGCAGGGATCGCCAAGTTCTGCGTCTTCTTATAGGGATACTGACAGGGCACAACAGGTTACGCAGACACCTATCACTCATAGGTGTGGAAGATAGTCCCACTTGCCGTGAATGCGGAGAAGATGAGGAGACATCACTTCACTTCCTCGGAGAGTGTGAGGCGTATATAAGGATGAGATTCGAAATCTTTGGAGTAGATAAACTACAACAGGAAGATTTGGTCGCATTAGAGTGGACGGACATTCTGACCTTCATCAGAAGGACGGGATAAGGCTCGAAAAGGACAACAAAAAGAGGGATGTGTAGATATGTGGAGAGCAGGGGTTGGAAAAAAGGGCCCATGGGGGCCTACTTGCCTGGCTACAGCCTCCCCACAATACTACTACTACTTCTAATATTACATACGTACATACCTTCAATTTTTCAATACCTATATCTAAATGGTATGAGTACCAAATTAAACAATGGAATCGTAAAACACACACAGGCCGCCGCTAAAAAATTCGACTGTCCTAATTGACGTAAGTTTAACATTCTCTCAAAGGAAGGCAAATTAATTTTCTAATACACTCATTTCATGCTTGTTTTCAGCAAAGTAATTGTGTTGGATTGAGGATACATAATATCCTATAAAATGTAACGTGATCTTAGTGGTTGAGAATACGAATAAAACTAGTTCCTTCTTCTTCCAAAATGGAATAAACTTATCTAATAAGGCCTATAGGAGGGTCGTCAAGCAAGTTTGATTGGCACTTATCATCACAGGGTGTGCAAAATTTGGTGGTAAACTTTTGAAATTTCAAAGCACTGTATTTTTCTCATTCTGAATTGGAGCCCTTGTATATTTTCATATTATTCGATGGGATGGAGAATGGTTAAATCAAACATTTCACAAATCACAATAACCCCATGGAAATTCCTTTCGCATTAAAAGTTATTTGCCGATAACCCGTTTCGATTCAACAATTCTAATAGCCATTTCAGATAATGAAAACGAGGTAGCTTTGATAAACAATTTATTGATAATTGATATATACAATATGTCGCAAAGTTTCAACAGATTATATTCGTCTAAACACATCGTTATAGTACCAACCTATCTAAAATTACAATATTTTTAGTTATGAACATTTCATTATAATCG